CACACACACACACACACACACACACACACATACACGCACACACGCACGCACACACGCACATAGGGTGTTCCCAAAAGGTGATACCAAATTTTAGGGGTATGTAGTACTCGTTAAAACAAAAACTTTTAATAAACAGTACTCCGAAAACCTTTTATTTCTGAGTTATTAAGCATTTTGTTCTGTGAAAAATAGAAAATAACTAAAATTTACAATAAATGTTCAATGTGACCTCCGTCCATTTCAACATACAATTCGGCACGTGTCCTCATTGAAGATCGAACACGTTCAATTGTGCGTAAAATATTTTCCTCGAATGCAGGAGTTCTAATAAGTCGCGGTCTACCGCAGTCAACTAAATTTGGTTTGAACTGTCCGGTCTCACGTAAGCGTTGATAAATTTTGCTAAACATTCTTCTACTTGGCTGTCGGCGATTCGGATAAGCTGCGTGATACAAACGTGCTGCTTTTGAAGCATTGCCCTTTGCTCTGCCATAAATAGAATGAACATCCGTCATTTCAGAATTTGTTAAAAATTAGCCATTTTCCAGATAACACAAAACTAGACACGGTCCACAACCCAAAGTTGAATACAACAATCCCTGCGTAATTAGGTGGTCACATACGGCCGTCCGTGAATGAACTGACTAAGAGACTTGGAAACTGTTGTCAACAAATACGAAATAAACCTAGGGTCTTTGACCTTCAATGACGAAACATGTCGAAATGTGTATTGAGATGAGCCGAAGGCACATTGAATTTATTGTAGATTTAATTTATTTTCTATTTTTCACAGAACAAAATGCTTCATAACTCAGAAATAAAAGGTTGTGACGATGCACACCTGCACCGTCACTAATACCGGCCCGACCGACCACCAGTCGGGCCGTGCACCGGCGCGTTGCGCCAACTCAAACGCCGCAAGGCCTAAACCAAACACCGCGTAAACAAAGCGGGCGAATAACACGCAATAACGCGACAGCAAGTACACAAAAGAATCGATCAAGAGCGAAAGTCGCGGGCACGCGACAATCACGTGCACAGCGAGCGAAGACAAAGCGGCGTCGAGTATATAATCCGCGGCGCCGAATTAATCGAGACCAGACCGATCCGGACCGTCAACCGAACTCGATGGTATACAACGGAGAGCAAGGCCTACGACCGACTCGTCTCTGTCTCCTCAGCCTATCAAGTGTCACATCCTCGCAAGCAAGGACCAAAGCTAGTACGTTAGCTGCGTTCTGTCGATCTTTATCGACTCTTGCTTGCATCCTGTCGACTCCACGAACAAGGATCGAAGTCAGTAAGTTAGCTGCGCTCTGTCGAGCTTTCTCGACCCTTGTTCCCAGCTTCTCGACGAGCGAGATCGAGGGTGAATACGTCGATAGCGAGACTGTTCACCCCCGATCTCGTCACCTGCGAAACAGGCGTGCAGCCGAGCGTGTCTCCACCGCGAACGCGAAAACAGCGTGCCGTGCTGTGACACGGACTCGATACCGCCAACACCGCGCGGTCCCCGCGATCGACCACGCGAGCCGTGCACGAATCGCGACCGCCGAATCACGACACACGACCGCCTGCCGAATATCCGAGGCAAGCCTAGCCTTCGCGTTATACGCTCCGCCTCCCGTCGTATCTAACACGACACATCGAAACCGCGACCCGATAACTGGCGCCGTCGCACGGTATATCTCCGCACTCGGACGCGACTACTCTGTACGAGGAAAGAATAAACGTTTTTGTTATTTTTATTTTTCACAAAACGCGTCTTGTGTTATTTATTTAGTGAACCCGGACTCCGGTGAGCGAATAATCCATCGGCAAAACCCCCATCAACCGACCTGCGGCGGTTGTTACATTGGCGCCCGAACAGGTTGATATGCTACATAAGAACGATTAAATTCAGAGTACAGAGCGCGAATGACGTCGTGGGTATATAAACTAACAAAAGACAAAATTACGGAACATTTACTGAAACAGAACGTAGACACGGAGGGAAAGTTCGAAGAGGTACGACAACGACTCGTGCAATTAGCAAAAAAGCAACCGGAACTTTTCGCGAGCATGAGTAATAATTTAACCAACGGCGTAGAAACCGAAAATAAAATCACGATGCCAGGAAACAACGATTCCGCTGCAACAATAGAGCCAGTCGAGTCAATCGCAAAAATAATGAATCAAATAAGAAAGTGGGGATGTCATTTTGACGGACGTGACCCCCACTCATTTCTAGAACGAGTGGAAAAATTAAGTCAGGTATACGGATACCCAGGCGAATACTTATTAAGAGGATTACCGGAAATGTTAAGAGGCGAGGCTCTAACGTGGTTCCGGAATGGTCGCGAAAACTAACAATCGTGGGAAGAATTTCGCGACGACTTCGAGGCGGAGTATATACCACGAGAATCACAGGCGAGAATGCGCAGACAAGCACGGGGACGCAAACAAAAAGAGGCAGAGTCGTTCCGGAGCTACGCTAACGATCTACTCAAGCTGATGCGAAGAGCAGGGGGATCGACAAAGGAACAGCTCGACCTCCTATACGAAAATATGCTCCCCGAAATAAAACGGTTCATAAGGTCAGACGAGGTGGACAGTATAGGCGAATTATGGATAAGAGCAACCGAGGTCGAACATATCAAACAACAAATTAAGGAAAAGAAAAAGGGAAACCCTGAGACGCAGATCCTCCGCCCAAGGGCATCACTAGCGGCAACAATACCATACAATAAGGACGAATGCTACTGGCGATGCAAACAAAGGGGACATAGCAGATTCGAGTGTAAACGATCACCGCAAAAATTTTGCTCACAGTGTGGGAAAGACGGCGTACTAACAAGAGAATGCCATTCGCGATCGGGAAACGGGCAACGGGCCGAGTTCCGGAAGAAAACTCGGCCCAACAATGCCCAGTGAAGTATACGCTAAGACCGTTTATCACCATCGAGATAAACGGACAATAGATAAAAACATTAATTGATTCGGGGTCGGAAAGATCGTTTATAAAACCAGAGATAGCGCGGAGATTAAGACTGACAATAAAAAAGACGGCCGACAACGTACGACTAGCCAACGGGATAACAATAGACATAACGGGGACAGTTGAGGCACGAATGAAAATATAAGGAAAAGTATACCGGCAACAATTGAGGGTGTTACCAAATCTCGGATGTGCAGTGATAATCGGGACAGACTTATGGACCGATTTACAATTAACGCTACCACCACCACCACCACAGACAGAGTCGAAAACATAAACGAACACGTGCACAATAGACAAGGGACTAACGCAACGAACAAGACAGGAAGACGAAATACTGAAACGATTTTTAGCAAGGGAATTGAAACTATTCGAGCAAACTCAGGGACCGACAAAATACAACCAACACCACATGACAAAACTGAAAGATACAAGACCGATAAAACAAAGGTATCGACCCCGAAATCCGGCAATGCAGGCTATAATAAATAAGGAGGTAGAGGAAATGCTTAAGGAAGGAATAATAGAACCTTCGTGAAGCGCTTGAAGTTCGCCGGTAGTGGTAGTGAAAAAGAAAGATGGGAAGCATAGATTTTGCATAGACTTTCGCAAACTAAACGAAGTCACGGAAAAAGACGCGTACCCACTACCACATATCACGGCAACTCCAGATAAGCTCCGCGGAGCGCAATATCTCTCCACGCTAGACCTAAAAAGCGGGTACTGGCAGATCCCACTGTCCCCCTCGAGCCGACCTTTAACCGCATTTACGGTACCAGGGAAAGGACTGTTGCAATTTAAAGTAATGCCGTTCGGCTTGCATTCCGCGCCCGCGAAGTTCCAACGTCTATTAGACAAGATACTCAGCCCCAAACTAGAACCCAACGTGCTGGTATACTTGGACGACATAATCATTATAAGCCGGACATTCGAGGAGCATATAAAACACCTCAAGGAAGCATTCCGCCGATTACGGGACGCAAAATTAAAAATAAATCAGGACAAATGCCGGTTTAGTGTGGAAAAATTAAAATATCTAGGACACGTTATTAACAACAAAGGGATCTAAACAGATCCCGAAAAAATTAGCACCATAAAAAACTGGCCGATCCCAAATACCGTCAGAAGGATCAGACAATTCGTTGGACTAGCATCATGTATAGAAGATTTATACCAAACTTCTCCACGCTCGCCGCCCCACTAACTAAAATGTTACGGAAAAACGCAAAGTGGGAATGGGGAAAAGAGCAGGAAACCGCATTCAAAGAATTAAAATCGAGACTGACAACAACACCGATATTAGCATATCCTGATTTCTCCAAGAAGTTTGTCGTCAAAACCGATGTCAGTACGAAGGGACCTTGGCGCTGTACTCATCCAGCAATTAGACGGCGAGGAGCGAGTAATCACGTACGCGAGTCGAACCTTGGACAGGGCAGAGCGGAACTACAGCGCGACCGAGTTGGAATGTCTCGCTATAGTATGGGGAATAAGGCGCCTCCGCGATTACCTGGAGGGATACCGATTTACGGTCATCACGGACCACCAGTCCCTCCGGTGGCTACAAAAAGTGGAGGCATCAACAGGAAGACTAGCAAGGTGGATAATAGAATTACAACAGTATGACTTTGACATCCAATACCGGCAAGGCAGTCTGAACATGGTCGCCGATGCCCTGTCCAGACAACCACAGTTATGTAACATCAGTCCAATATGTCCATGGTACCAAAAAGTGATATCTCAGGTGGCCGAAGAACCGACAGCGCCACCAGACTATAAAATAGTAGAAGGGAAATTAATGAGACACATCCTCCATGACCTCGACTTCAAAGAAACAAAAGCCGAAGATCAATGGAAGGAGTGTATACCAAAAGAAAATAGATTGGAAGTCATGAGGAAATTCCATGACGAACCCACGGCCGGCCACCTGGGAATTGCAAAAACTATTGCTCGCATAGCCCGGCGATTTTACTGGCCAGGCATGTTCCGTGAAGTAGCAAAATATGTCCAAACCTGTAAGAAATGCCTGGCCCATAAAGCACAGCAAGTAAAGCCAGCCGGGCGAATGCACGCAACCGCGGTAGAGGGACCATGGCAACAAGTCACCGTGGATCTTATTGGCCCTTTACCGCGATCAAATAGCGGCCACACATGGATCCTGACAATGTAGGACCGATTCACAAAGTGGCTGGAAATGCGATCAATAAGGCGAGCAAAAGCCTTTATTTAAGAAACAAATGAAAAAAATACATCAATCAAAGTATTGGCCATCGTTGAATATGACTTTTTCCCATATTTCTAGTAATAAGCGGATCCCACGGCGAAAGAACGACTCATCTTTGGAGGTTATTCAGTTAGGGACTATTTTTCGACGCTTTCATAAGAGTTGAAGTGTTTCTCTGCAAGTGCGTATGCCATCGACCGAAACAAGTGGTAGTCGGAAGGGGCACAGTCTGATGAATAAGCCGCATGGGGTAGCATTTCCCAGCGAAGTGCTTCCAATGTTTCCTTGACAGCCTTAGTAACGTGAGATCGAACGTTCTCATGAAGCAAGATCACTTTTTGCTGTCTTGTCTCATACTCTGGTCATTTTTCGCGCAATGCTCGACTCAAACGGATTATTTGTAGAGATCTCCTTTGTCTGTTTGACCAGGTTTCTTTATCTCATAATATACCACACTCTTCTGATCCCACTAAATAGAGAACATGACCTTCTTCCCATAAATATTGCATTTTGGCGTCGATGTCGAGGGTTGGCCTGGGTCGCAAATGCTTTTTCGGCGTTTAGGGTTATCGAAATAGATCCACTTTTCATCGCGTCACAATTCGACGCAAAAACCCCTTTCTTTTTTGTCTGGCAAGCAGCATTTCGGAGATAGTTTTTCGCCTTTCGATGTCTCTTTCTTTCAATTCATATGGCACTCATCTTCCTTCCTTGTATATCTTTTCCATGGCTCCTTGAGTAATGTTTAACGTTTCAAGTTAATTTTATGTTTAACATAGATCTTCATCAACTAATGCTTGCAATTCTGTATCTTCGAATTTTTTTTGGCTGGCCTGAACGTTCTTTATTATTAGTATCAAAATCACCAAGTTTGAATCGTCGAAACCATTCCTTGCAAGTTATTTCCGATACAACAAGTTCCCAATAAGCTTCAACAAACATTCGATGAGATTCAACAGGAGTTTTCTTCAAATTGAAACAGAAAAGTAAAGCTTCGCGCAAATGATGCTTATTTGGTTGAAATTCCAACATTTTCTTCGCAGTAAATAACTATGCTATTGCCACAAACACAACTTTTGTATATTGAATATCATTGACAGAGGTCAAAACTATAAATGATACCTTGTTCAGCCATTACAGTTGACGATTGTCAAAGTTACAGCTGTTTATCAACAAGGGCAGGTTTCAAGTTATAGACCTAAAATATATATACACACATACTGTCCCACCACTACCGCATTATATCTTAAGGGCAAATTCCTGAGGTAATTTAAAGAAAAAATCCTAATGCAACAATATCGAAGCTATAATACTTTTCAAATTATAAATGATTCCCATACAGCACAAAACGTTAAAAAACGTTGACGAGACGTTAAGATAGACAACGTTGAAGATAGAATTGCAGATGTTTTTTCTGCATGAAATTTAAGTTGATTTTTAAAAATTGATTTGATTCAAAATTGATTTCATTGATTTGATTTAGAAAGAAATAGCTGCAGTATTGAGTATATATTGGACAAAAAGTACAATATTTTACAATATTGCAATAATATTTGAGAAGTATTAAAAATTATATTATTGATAATATTAATGAAAAATGTATTATATAATAATAATAATAATAAAATAAATTATTATTAAATTTTATTATATTAATATATATATATTATTATTATTGTTATTAATATTAGGTGTACAACTTTGCTTCCGCCGTTTTCCTATAGATGGCCTTAGCGGTAAATGGTGGTTAAAATAAATAGATCATAGACGTCATACAATAAAGTTGGGCATCTGTCAACATAACCCCATAGAAACATTAGTTGATTTGTGTCTACATTATAAAGTTATTCTTGATTGAAAATGTCAGTTTACGAGCCAAATTCTCGTCATTTGCGGGAGGTTTTAATTTTTTGCTTCAATATGAAGAAATCTGCGGCTGAGGCTCATCGAATGCTCTCAAATATTTATGATGAGGCCGCCATTAGTGAAAGAATGTGTCGTAAGTGGTTTCAACGCTTCAAGAACGGTGATTTTGACGTCGAAGACCGGCATAGCGGTGGAAGAGAAAAAGTTTTTGAAGATGCAGAATTGAAGAGGCATTACTTGATCAAGACTCGTGTCAAGAAGAATTGGCACGATCATTGGGAGTGACTCAACAAGCCATTTCAAAGCGGTCTCAAAGCCATGGGAATGATTAAGAAGCAAGGAAATTGGGTGCCGTACGAATTGAAGCCGAGAGATGTTGAACAGCGTTTGTTTGCTTATGAACAGCTACTTGAAAGACAAAGACGGAAGGGACTTCTGCATCGCATTGTGACTGGGGACAAAAAATGGGTTCATTACGATAACCCCAAGCGCAGAAAATCATGGGGAGTTCCCGGCCATGCTTCCACATTGACGGCCAAACCGAA